TGAGAGACAGAGAGAGAGAGAAAGGTCTTCCTTTGCCGTTGGTTCACCCTCCAATGGCCGCCGTGGCCAGCGCACCGCGCTGATCCAAAGGCAGGAGCCAGGTGCTTCTGGTCTCCCATGGGGTGCAGGGCCCAAGCACCTGGGCCATCCTCCACTGCACTCCCTGGCCACAGCAGAGGGCTGGCCTGGAAGAGGGGCAACCGGGACAGAATCTGGCGCCCTGACCGGGACTAGAACCCGGTGTGCTGGCGCCGCAAGGCGGAGGATTAGCCTAGTGAGCTGCGGCGCTGGCCCATAATACCTATTCTTTGATGATTCTTTTTGAGAGCTTCTCACAGATATGCTTCATTATTTTTAATGAGTTCATAATATTCCAGAATGTGGATACCCACAGTTTATTGAGTCCTCTTTAGTTTATGCCTATGTATTTGATAATCTTTATGGTGTTTATTTATTTATTTGAAAGTCAGAGTTAAAGAGAGAGAGAGAGAGAGGTCTTCCATCCTCTGATTCACTCCCCAGATGGCTGCAATGGCTGGATCTGCGCCGATCCGAAGCCAGGAGCTGGGAGCTTCCTCTGGGTCTCCCACACTGGCACAGGGACCCAAGCATTTGGGCCATCCTCTACTGTTTTCCCAGGCCATAGTAGAGAGCTGGATTGGAAGTGGAGCAGCCGGGACTCAAACCAACGCCTACATGGGATGCCGGCACTGCAGGCAGCAGCCTTATTCACTGCACCACAGCGCTGGCCCCGATGGTGTTTTATTTTTTAAAAACACATGTTTCAAAAGAGAGAGATTTTTCTATCCTCTGGTTCATTCCCCAAATGCCTGCAGCAGCCAGGTCTGGGCCAGGCCGAAGCCAACAACCCAGATGTCCATCCAGGCCTTCCATGTGGGTGGCAGGGCCCAAGCACTTGAGCCATCTGCTGCTGCCTTGCAGAATGCATTAGAAGGAAGCTGGATCAGAAGCTGAGTAGCCAGACCTGGGTCAGGCACTCTGATATGGGATGTTACATCCCAAGTGGTAGTGTAACCCATTGTGCAATAATGCCTGCCCCAGCTACTTTTATTTTAAATTACAAATAAGTGTTCAGTGTAAAATATTTGTAATAAAATATTTTTTAAAATATTTGAGGGGTAGAGTTACAGAGAAAGGGAGAGACAGAAAAGTCTTCCATCAGTTGGTTCACTCCCCAAGTGGCCACAGCAGATGGAGCTGGGCCTATCTGAAGCCAGGAGCCAGGAGCTTCTTCCAGGTCTCCCACATGGTTGCAGGGGCCCAAGCACTTGAGCCATCTTCTACTGCTTTCCCAGGCCTTAGCAGAGAGCTGGATCAGAAGAGGAGCAGCTGGGACATGAACTGGCACCCATATGGGATGCTGGCACTGAGGCGGAGGCTTAGCCTACTATGCTACAGCACCAGCCCCTATATAAATATTAACAAAGGCAAAAATACATTACTGATAAAGTTCACCGAATTCCTACCAGCTCAAGATAACTTTTTTGTCACTACACGCCACAGATGGCTTCCTATATACTAGCCACCATGCAGAGTGATTCATGGAACAGCAGTCAGAGGTGAGAGAGACTTCTCCAGCGAGGCTTGCCCAAGGTGACACAACTGGAAAGAGTGGCAGAGCCAGGAACCAGGCCCAGCTTTATCTGATTCCAAAGTTCTGCTGGCCGTTAACATGCTGGTGGATTTCCTTCTAATCTTTTTTTTCCTCTGCCACAGGAAGAAATGTTTACATGTAAATATTCCTGGATTTTCCTCCTTCCTCCCAGCCCGGGTTCTAAGGAGTCTTTGTGAAGAAGGCAGAGGGGACAGATGGACCTCAGCAGAAGCATGCAGAGCCTTGGGGGTCTCCTGAGAGCAGGGAAGGTCTGGGCGGGGCCTGGGGGAAAGAAGGACAGAAAGGGACAGTTGGGGCATTAGTGGTTTACCGTGAATTTGGGAGGATTGTGGAAGGACATCTTGGGGCCGGTGCTGTGGCGTAGCAGGTAAGGGTGCTGCCTGCAGTGCCGGCGTCCTGTATGGGTGCTGGTTCTAGTTCCGGCTGCTCCACTTCCTATCCAGCTCTTGCTAATGCACCTGGGAAAGCAGTGGAGGATGGCCCAAGTACTTGGGCCCCTGCACCCACATGGGAGACCTGGGTGAAGCTCCTGGCTCCTGGCTTCAGCCTGGCTCATCCCTCACTGTTGTGGCCATTTGGGGAGTGAACCAGCCGATGGAAGATTTGTCTCTGTCTCTCCTTTCTGTAACTCTGCCTTTCAAATAAATAATTTTTTTTTTTTTAAAGAAAGAACGTCTTGCCATAGGATGGGCCGTGTAACCTCTGCAGAGCTCGGCTTCCTGTTGGTGCTTTAGGAGTTGGATCAGGTTCTTTTAGGTGACGAGGGAGAAAAGACTGCTTTATTCGGGCTCTTGTACACTTTGTGCATTTTTTCTTTTATGGAAATAAACTAGGCTTCCTGCCCTTGTTTGCTCTGTGGCCCCCACCTAGAATGCTCCACCTCTTTCACCCATCTCTCCTGGTCCCCACCCTTTATTCTGGAGGTCCACCCCCTGCCCCTCCTTCGTTTGCCTCCAGCTCTTCTCTAGTTCCTCGTGATAGCCAGGTCAGGATAGGTGGCGGCCCTCCTCCTTCGCGCACTGGGGAGCTGGTAGGACATACCAAGCAAGAAGTCTCTGCCACTGGTAAACCTTTGACTAAGAAACTGGTCTGGTTCGTTGGATCATTTACAACTACCTCGTGGCCAGGCTGGCTGTTGTTTCCCCCTTTACTTGGGCTCTAAGAAGCTCAGAGCTTTTCTATTTCTTGGTCTGTATGCTCTCTCCCAATTTTATTACCTTTAGCCTTAAAAGTCCTTTTATTTGGGGTAGGTGTTTAGCACAGCAGTTAAGACTCCACTTGGGGAGCTGGCATTGTGGGATAGTAGGTAAAATTGCCTGCATCACCAGCATTCTGATCCAGCCCCCTGCTAATGGCCTGGGAAAGCAGTGGAAGGTCGCCCAAGTATTAGGACACCTGCCACCCACATGGGAGACCCGGATGAAGCTCCTGGCTTCGGCCTGGCTCAGCCCCGGCTGTTGCAGCCATCTGGGGAGTGAAACAGTGGAGGGAAGAACTTTCTGTCTTCTAACTCTTTGAAATAAATAAATAAATCTTTAAAATGCTTAAATAAAAAGTGTGGGGACCAACTCAGACTAGACTTAAGTTACTGGAATTAAGACTTATTCTGGCCGGCGCCGCGGCTCACTAGGCTAATCCTCCGCCTAGCGGCGCCGGCACACCGGGTTCTAGTCCCGGTCGGGGCGCCGGATTCTGTCCCGGTTGCCCCTCTTCCAGGCCAGCCCTCTGCTGTGGCCAGGGAGTGCAGTGGAGGATGGCCCAGGTGCTTGGGCCCTGCACCCCATGGGAGACCAGGAAAAGCACCTGGCTCCTGGCTCCTGCCATCGGGTCAGCGTGGTGCGCTGGCTGCAGCGCGCCAGCCGCGGCGGCCATTGGAGGGTGAACCAACGGCAAAGGAAGACCTTTCTCTCTGTCTCTCTCTCTCACTGTCCACTCTGCCTGTAAAAAAAAAAAAAAAAAAAAAAAAAAAAAAAAAAAAGACTTATTCTATGCATCTGCTCTCCCACAATATGGCGCTGGGAGAGGAGTAAACAGCTTCTACACAGCTGCCTCTTGCCAACTTGACAAGCTGCAGGAGCTGCTCCTGATTGGAGGAGAGCAGCGTACTCGGCGTGTGGGTAGCAGAGTTGGGATTGGCGGAAGAGGACTATAAAGGAGGAGAGAGACAACATGCACCAAGGAACATCTATCTGAAGGAACACCTGTGCAGCCCCCTAGAGAGCCGGCCAGCGGTGTGCCGCTCCCCCGCGGAAGTGGGGAAAGTGGCTAGGGGGAACCGCCCTTCCACGGAGGTGGAAGGGTCGGTAGCCAACCCGGGAAGAACCAGCAGCAAACCCGGGAAGGGCCGAGCAGACAAAAGAACAGCGCAGGGTCCTGTGTTGTTCCTCCGCGAAGAGGGGGAGCGACATAATGGTGCCGTGACTCGGATAAGAAAACCTAGGAGGGAAGAAACAGGAAGAAGTGGGAAAATACCGGAGAGAGAGACTAGCAAAGAGCCTAGGGAAAAGCCGGACGGAAAAGGTGCCGGAAGAAGCTTTTGAAAGCCTAGGCATAGACTTGGATACGGACTGTGGGAAAGAAGTTAGGATTTAAAGTGAAAGCAAGAAGAAACTTAGACTCAGATACGGACTGCAGGTTGAAAGTGAAAGTGAAACCTAGAAGAAACTTGGACACGGACTGTGGGGAGAAGCCAGGAAAAGTGAGGGAGGAATATTGTTGGAAGAAAAGTTAGGAAACATACCGGGTAGAGAAAAATGTTAGGGAGGATGAAGCCGCAGGGGCAGGCTGAGGCGGAGACGTAAGCCAGCTTGGGATTCTTCAAGTCAGCCCGGGGAGCAAAAGGCGAAAAGCTAAAACTAGAGGCGGACGCGTAAGCCAGGTTGGAATCCGTCAGATTAGCCCGGGGAGCAAAAGACGGGAAGCCAAACCGAAAGGCGCAGACGTGAGCTAGGTTGAATTTCTCCAGGTTAGCCCGGGGAACTTAGACTGAATACCGGTGGCGGAAACGTGAGCTAGGCTGTGTGATTCGCGGAAGCTGCCGCGCGCAGAGAGAGCGCACGGGACACGAATGGGGAGAGCACATGGGGCGCGAATAGAAGCCGGTAAGCCGCGCAGAGCCGGGAAGCCGCCGCAGGGCAGGCGCCGGGAAGCGGCGCAGAGCCGGGAAGCAGCCTCGGGGCGGGCACTGGGAAGCCGCAGGGATAAGAGAAACAGAAGTTTAGAAGTAAAATGAGAGAAATAGGAATGCTGGCAGATAGAAGTAAAATAGGAGAAATAGGAATGCCCGGAGATAGAGAAATAGAGAAAAATAAAGCCTCCCCACAACACGGCAATGAGAGAGCTTGGATTCGGTCTGCCTGATGAGTGAGGCGATAAGCACCAGCAGGCAGCTCGACCAGAGTATGAGCTGCAGGTCACCGAAGATAGGCACGAATCAACACCAATAAGTCTCCCCACAATACGGCAATGAGAAGGCTTGGATTCGGTTTGCCTGATTGGTAGGGCTTGTAAGCACCTGCAGGCAGTTCTAGCAGAGCAGAGCATGCGCTTCAGGGCACCGAACACAGGCACGCATCAGCGCCTAAAAACCTCCTCACAACATGGTGAAGAGAGGACCTGGATTCGGTTTGCCTGATTGGTAGGGCTTGTAAGCACCTGTGGGCAACTCCAGCAAGTAGAGCAGAGTGTGTGCTGCGGGGCACCGAAGACAGGCACGTATCAACGCCAAAAAATAAAAAGAAAGGGGGATCTGTGGGGAGCAACTCAGACTAGACTTAAGTTACTGGAATTAAGACTTATTCTATGCATCTGCTCTCCCACAGTATGGCGCTGGGAGAGGAGTAAACAGCTTCTACACAGCTGCCTCTCGCCAACTTGACAAGCTGCAGGACCTGCTCCTGATTGGAGGAGAGCAGCGTACTCGGCGTGTGGGTAGCAGAGTTGGGATTGGCGGAAGAGGACTATAAAGGAGGAGAGAGACAACATGCACCAGGAACATCTATCTGAAGGAACACCTGTGCAGCCCCCTAGAGAGCCGGCCAGCAGTGTGTCGCTCCCCCGCGGAAGTGGGGAAAAGTGGCAGGGGGAACCGCCCTTCCACGGAGGTGGAAGGGACGGTAGCCAACCCGGGAAGAACCAGCAGCAAACCCGGGAAGGGCCGAGCAGACGAAAGAACAGCGCAGGGTCCTGTGTCGTTCCTCCACGAAGAAGGGGAGCGACATAATGGTGCTGTGACTTGGATATGAAGCCTAGGCAGGGTTTAGTGTCGTTCCTCCATGAAGAGGGGGAGCGACAAAAAAGGACTCCACTTGGGTCGCCCACATGACATGTTGGAGAGCCAGTTGGAGTCCCAACCACTCTGCTTCTGATCCAGCTCATTGCTAAGGAGCCTGGGACAACAGCAGAAGATGGCACAAGTACTTGGGCCCCTATCACTCATGTGGGAGTCCAGGATAGAGTTTCAGGCTCCTGGCTTTGGCCTGGCTCAGCACTGACTGCTGTACGCATTTGAGGAGTGAACCGGTAGATGGATATCTCTCTTGTTTTAATCTCTCTCTCTCTCTCTCTCTCTGTTTTGCAAATAAAATTAAAACAAATATATAATTAATTTAGGAAAACAAAAAAGGAAAAGGCCAGCTTAGCAGTGCAATGGAGCAGAGACCTTAGACAGAGCCCCAAGTCCATCACTGATGCTGTGTGGCTGTGGGCAGTTCTTCCGCACCTTGGTTTCCTTGGGGCTCCTGATCCCCACCTTCTCAGACATTTTATTTTATTTTTACAAGATGTATTTATTTATTTGAAAGAGTCACACACAGAGAGGAGAGGCAGAGAGAGAGAGATCTTCCGTCCAATGGTTCACTCCCCAGATGGCCGCAATGGCCGGAGCTGCGCCGATCTGAAGCCAGGAGCCAGGAGCTTCTTCCGGGTCTCCCACGTGGGTGCAGGGGCCCAAGCACTTGGGCCATCTTCTGCTTTCCCAGGTCACAGCAGAGAGCTGGATTGGAAGAGGAGCAGCCGGGACTAGAACCGGTGCCCGTATGGGATGCTTCAGGACAGAGCTTTAACCCGCTGCACCGCAGCACCGGCCCTGTCAGAAATTTTTTATAATCATACCCAGGCCTAGAGAAGGCAATTCCTTGTATGGGAAGAAAAAGTGAGGCGACTGTGGAATATTTAGAGAACGGAGATAAACACGTGTACGTGTCCTGTGGAAGGCAGCTGCCCCACACCTGGCGTATACACGGGTGCTGCCCAAAGTTTATGGAAAATGGAATTAAGCTTAGTGCAGTATGAAATCCATGCATCCTTGCATACCATGTGTGTGTGTGTTTTTTTTTTAAAGATTTATTTATTTATTTGAAAGAGTTACACACACAGAGAGAGAGAATGGTCTCCCATCTGATGGTTTACTCCCCAATTGGCCGCAACGGCCGCGGCCGGAGCTGCACTGATCCAAAACCAGGAGCCAGGAGCTTCTTCTGGGTCTCCCATGCGGGTGCAGGGGCCCAAGCACTTGGGCCATCTTCTACTGCTTTCCCAGGCCATAGCAGAGAGCTGGATTAAAAGTGGAGCAGCCAGGTCTCGAAATGACCACTCATATGGGATGCTGGTGCTTCAGGCCAAGGCACTAACCCGCTGAGGCACAGCGCCGGCCCCCTACTATGTGTTTCTTTTGAAAATAAATTTATTTATTTGAGAGGCAGAGATACACAGTGAATACTCTCCCATTCATTGGTTCACTCCTGAAATGCCCGGGACAGCCCGGGCTGAGCTGGGGCCTAAGAGGAACTCCATCAGGTCTCCCACAAGGGCAGGAACCCAGTCACCTGGGACATCACCGCCACCTCCCAGGGTCTGCATCAGCAAGAAGCTGGGGTCAGGAACCGAACATAGACCCTCTGATGAGACACGTGTGCATCTTAACCTCTAGGCCACACACTTATCCCCTCTGGAGATCTTTCAGTCTTGGCTCTTAGGTTACTCGATCTTAGCATGCTCCTGGGGAAAGAAATGAACAAACTTAAGAGATGACTCGAGCAGGAGTGAGCAAGTGTTGTTCTAGAAGGGAGTTTATGTCAAGAATTAGTGAGGGGGACTGGCACTGTGGTACAGTGGATTAAGCTGCCACCTGCACTGGCATCCCATGTGGGCTCTGATTGTAGTTCCAGCTGCTCCACTTCCAATCCAGCTCCCTACTAATGGCCTTGGAAAGCACAGGAAGATGACTCAAGTCCTTGGACCCACGTGGGAGAGCTGGAAAAAGCTCCTGGCTCCGACCTGGCTAAGCCCTGGCTGTTGTGGCCGTTTGGGGAGTGAGGTGCTGCTGCCCCTGCAGGCAACCAGGCCCTGTATGGGAGAGTTCAAGGGGGCAGGTTGGGTGGGCAGGAGGGCATCTGAAAGTTGCCGACCACCACGAGGCCCGCGGCGTTGCTGCAGCCCGTGATGAGTGCCGTGGTGTTAACCCAGGAGTGCCGGCTCTGCTCCAGGAGCTGCCCGTAGTGCAGAAGGCAGATCAGGGCCACCATGAAAGCACCCATGTTGCCAATGAGGCTGAAGAGGCAGCTCTCTGGGGGATTTGTGCTGCACTTGCTGATGAGGGGGACATCATCCAGGGTGCAGCAGGTCTTAGGGCCCCCTTGCTCTCAGGAGAGCAGGACACGTTGTAAGACCAGCTCTCCACAGGGCACACATGGCGGTTCATCACGGCCATGGCATACACAGTCCATATGCCAGTGATAGAGAATGCTGACAGGCAGATAGGAAGGAGGATCCAGGCGGTCATGAGGGAGCCAGGGTGGTGGTGGTGGGGGAGACAAGAGGTAGGCGGGGAGGAGGGGCGGGCCACAACCATCAGCTGCCCTGGCCTCCCTGTAGCGCCCAGCCGCTATGCCCTGCTCTTTCGAAACTCTTTCTCTGTCTTTGACTTTCAAATAAATCAATAAATCTTTTTTATAAAATACTTATTTATTTGAAAGTCAGAGAGAGAGAGGTCTTTTATCTGCTGGTTCACTCCCCAATTGGCCTCAATGGCGGGAGCTGCGCAAACCGAAGCCAGGAGCCAGGAGCGCTTCTAGATCTCACACAGAGGTTCAGGGGCCCAAGCACTTGGGCCATCTTCTTCTACTGCTTTTCCAGGCTATAGAAGAGAGCTTGATTGGAAATGGAGCAGCCGGGTCTCGAACCGGCGCCCATATGGGATGCCAGGACTGCAGGCGGTGGCTTTTACCCACTATACCACAGCGCCGTCCCCGAAATAAATAAATCTTAAAAAGAAATTGTGGCCAACTGGGGAGTGAATCAGCACATGGAAAACCTCTCTCTCGTCCTGATTTCTCCACTTCTGATCTGGCTCCCTGCTAATGCGCCTGGGAAAGCAGCAGATGACTCAAGTGCTTGGGGCCCCACCACTCACGTGGGAGACCTGCATGGAGTTCCAGGCTCCTGGCTTCAGTCTGCCCCAGTTCCAGCCATATCGCCATTTGGGAAGTGAAGCAGTAGATGGAAGATCTCTCTCTCTCTCTCCCTCTCTCTCTCTCCCTCTCCCTCTCTCTATATATATAACATTTAAAAAAATTTTTTAAGGTTTATTTTTATTTATTTGAAAGGCAGAGTTAAAGAGAGAGGAAAAGAGAGACAGAGATCCTCCATCTGCTGGTTTACTCCCCAAATGGCTGCAACGGACAGGGCTGGGCCAGACCGAAGCCAGGAGCCAAGAGGTTCTTTTGGGTCTCCTTCATGGGTGCAGAGGCCCAAGCACTTGGACCCTCCTCTGCTGACTTCCTAGGTGCATTAGCAGGAAGCTGGATCAGAAGTAGAGCAGCCAAGATATGAACTGGTGCCTATATGGGATGCTGGCATCACAGGCAGCAGCTTTACCCACTACACTACAACGGCAGCCGCAATTAAAGAAATATTAACCAAAAGAAATGGCGAGGGGTTGGCTCTGTGGCATAGTGGGTAAAGCCACCACCTGTAGTGCCAGCATCCCATATGGGCACTGGTTTGAGTCCCGGCTGCTCCACTTCAGATCCAGCTCTCGCTATGGCCTGGGAAAGCAGGTGAAGATGGCCCAGGTCCTTCGGCCCCTGCACCCACGTGAGAGACCCAGAAGACTTGGATCGGCACAGCTCCAGCCGTTGCAGCCAATTGGGAAGTGAATCAGTGGATGGAAGACCTCTCTCTCTCTCTCTCTCTCTCTCTCTCTCTCTCTCTCTGCCTCTCCTTCTCTCTCTGTGTAACTCTGACTTTCAAATAAATAAATAAATCTTAAAAAAAAAAAAAAGAAGAAGTAGCGAGTGGAAGTTCGGGAAACCTGTCACAGACTTGCGGTGAGATGCGGGGAAAGCCACCTAATCGAGCACCATTCCTCGCCTGCAGGATGGAGCTGTTGGTGCCGGCTGGTAAGGGTGGCTGGGTGGATCGCCGCGGAGGTGACACGGATGTGCCCACAACAATGCCAGCCTGGGAGGTGATCGGGAAACGGGTTCGAGTGGGGAACTCCCTCTCTGAGCTCCCATCACATTCAAGGTCACTCACAATTGTCTCTTGTGGCCCAGGGCTGTGTAAGGCTTGGCTCGGAGCCCAGCTTTGTCACAAGGCTACTGTGTGAGTTGTGAAGCCTCTTCCTCTCTGGGGCTTGGATTCCAAGTCCACACTCACGGGAGCAGGCAGATCACATAGACACGAGAATGCTTCACAAAGTTCACAGGAAAACAGACTTAAAGGAGAAGTTCGGGGGCCAGTGCTGTGGCCAACATCCCATGTGGGTGCTGGTTGGAGTCCTGGCTGCTTCATTTCTTTTCCTTTTTTAAATATTTATTTCTTTATTTGAAAGGTAGAGGTAGAGGTAGAGAGAGAGAGAGAGGCCTCCGTCTGCCAGTTCACTCCCCAGATGGCCACAATGGCCAGAGCTGGGCCCATCCGAAGCCAGGAGCCAGGAGCTTCCTTCAGGTCTTTCAACGTGGGTGCAGGGGCCCACCCAAGCACTTCAGCCATCTTCCTCTGCTTCCCCTGGCCATAGCAGAGAGCAGGATCAGAAGTGGGGCTGCTCCACTTCTAATCCAGCTGCCTATTACTGTGTCTGGGAAAGCAGAGGAAGATGGCTGAAGTGCTTGGGCCCTGCACCCACGTGGGAGACCCACATGGACCTATAGGCTTGTGGCTTCTTTGTTGTGGTCATTTGGGGATTGAACCAGAGGATGGACCATCTCTCTCTCTCTCTCTCTCTCTCTGAAACTCTGCCTTCTAATAAGTAAATAAATCTTTTTTTTTTTTTTTTTTTTTTTTTTTTTAAAGCATGGGCTCTAAAGTCAGAGAAGTTCGGCCAGTGCTGCAGCTCACTTGGCTAATCCTCCGCCTGCGGCGCCGGCACCCCAGGTTCTAGTCCCGGTTGGAGTGCCGGGTACTAGTCCTGGTTGCTCCTCTTCCAGTCCAGCTCTCTGCTGTGGCTCGGGAGGGCAGTGGAGGATGGCCCAAGTGCTTGGGCTCCTGCACCCACATGGAAGACCAGGAGGAAGCACCTGACTCCTGGCTTCGGATCAGCACAGCGCTGGCTGTGGCGGCCATTAGAGGAGTGAACCAATGGAAGGAAGACCTTTCTCTCTGTCTCTCACTTTCTATAACTCTCTCTCTGCCTCACTCTCTCTCACTGTCTAACTCTGCCTGTCAAAAAAATAAAAAATAAATAAAAATTAAAACTAAAAAATTAAAAAAATAAAGTCAGAGAAGTTCGTGTACCAGTGCCATCACTGAATACCTTTGTGTTCCTGACCAAATCACTGTGCCTCAGTTTTCTTATCTGTAAAATGGGGGGTAATCAGCCGGCGCCGCGGCTCACTAGGCTTATCCTCCGCCTAGCGGCGCCGGCACACCGGGTTCTAGTCCCGGTCGGGGCGCCGGATTCTGTCCCAGTTGCCCCTCTTCCAGGCCAGCCCTCTGCTGTGACCAGGGAGTGCAGTGGAGGATGGCCCAGGTGCTTGGGCCCTGCACCCCATGGGAGACCAGGAAAAGCACCTGGCTCCTGCCATCGGATCAGCGCGGTGCGCCGGCCGCGGCGGCCATTGGAGGGTGAACCAACGGCAAAGGAAGATCTTTCTCTCTCTCTCTGTCTCTCACTGTCCACTCTGCCTGTCAAAATAAAAAAAAAAAATGGGGGTAATCATGGCACATGTTTTGTGGTATTACAGTGAGGATCACATAAACAAGGCCAGGACTCAGATGAGGTTAATGAGGCACTTGTCTTGGGTGCAAAATTCAAGGGAGCACCAAAAAGCTCAGTAATCAATTAAGATTTTTAATATTTTAAAAACTCAAATGCAAAAAATAATCCATGAGGAACAAAATATCAAAATTCTACATAAGGACAGATCTGATCTTGCACTTGCATAACTTGTCCTCACTGGCTTCAGCCCTTCTTATTATTTTAAGATTTATTTTATTTATTTGAAAGAGTTACAGAGAGAGGTAGAGACAGAGAGAGAGGTCTTCCATCCACGGGTTCACTCCCCAGATGGCTGCAACAGCTGGAGCTGAGCTGCTCCGAAGCCAGGAGCCAAGAGCTTCTTCCAGGTCTCCTTTGTGGGTGCAGGGGCCCAAGCACTTGGGCCATCTTCTACTGCTATCCCAGGCCATAGCAGAGAGCTGGATCGGAAGAGGAGCAGCCGGGACTGGAACTGGCACCCATATAGTGTCGCTCCCCCTCTTCATGGAGGAACGACACAGGACCCTGCGCTGTTCTTTCGTCTGCTTGGCCCTCCCCGGGTTTGCTGCTGGTTCTTCCCGGGTTGGCTACTATCCCTTCCACCTCCGTGGAAGGGCAGTTCCCCCTGGCCGCATTCCCCACTTCCGCAGGGGAGCGGCACACCGCCGGCCGGCTTTCTCGGGGGCTGCACGGGTTCCCTTAGATGTTCCCCATAGATGTTCCCGGTGCATGCCGTCTCTCTCCTCCTTTATAGTCCTCCTCCGCCAATCCCAACTCGGCTGCCCACACGCCGAGTACGCTGCTCTCCAATCAGGAGCAAGTCCTACAGTTAATTGGTTGAACTGGAGGCAGCTGTGCGGAAGCTGTTTACTTCTCTCCCAGCGCCATATTGTGGGAGAGCAGATGCATAGAATAAGTCTTAATTCCAGTAACAGTCTAGTCCGGTTTGCTCCCCACAGATCCCCCTTTCTTTTTATTTTTGGCGTTGATACGCGCCTGTCTTCGGTGTCCCGCGGCACACACTCTGCTCTACTTGCTAGAGTTGCCACAGGCTCTTACAAGTCCTATCAATCAGGAAAACCGAATCCGGGTCCTCTCTTCGCCATGTTGTGAGGAGGTTTTTAGGCGCTGATGCGTGCCTGTATTCGGTGCCCTGCAGCGCATGCTCTGCTCTGCCTGCAGGGGACTTACAAGACCTATCAGGCAAACCGAATCCAAGCCTTCTCATTGCCTTATTGTGGGGGAGACTTATTAGTGTTGGTTCGTGCCTATCTTCGGTGACCTGCAGCTCATACTCTGGTCGAGCTTTGCTGGCGCTTACCGCCTTAAATCAGGCAGACCGAATCCAAGCCTCCTAATTGTTGCATTGTGGGGAAGCTTTACTGATGTTAATTCGTGCCTGTCTTCGGTGACCTGCAGCGCATAAGCTGCTAGCCGCCGCAGGTGCTCATCGTGCTCATCGCCTCACTTAATCAGGCAGACCGAATCCAAGCTCTCACAGTGCAGTGTTGTAGGGAGGCCTTTTTATTTCTCTATTTCTCTATCTCCGGGCATTCCTATTTCTCCCATTTTACTTCTATCTT